TGTTTCATTAAAAACAGAGCATTTGCTTAAATAAAATGTATCTAAAAAAATGACGTATAAACAGTATATATATATATATTTATATATATGCATATAGGTATGATTAAATAAATTACAAACATTATGTCTGCTTACTTTTAGCATAATCTTTTCATATTCACGAATATTTTTCGTGTATTGATGACGACCTCAAAAATAGATCGAAAGTACTTGGGAAATAAAAGTGATTTTCACTGTTACAGTGCATTTCTTGCAACGTTTGATTGTCATACACGGAAAAATATTCGTCAATAATCAAACATGCCTAAAGGAGAATCCGCTGCCTAAACACACACACACACACACACACACACACACATATATATATATATATATATATATATATATATATCCTCTTCCTCTGTAGGTATACATATGCATAAAACATGTGTGTGTGTGTGTATTCTTCCTCTGTAAGTACATATATGCATAAAACATATATATATATATATATATATATATATATATATATATATATATATATGTTTAAATATTTCTAATAGTTCACATACAGTCAGCTGCAAAGGCCTATATCGTTGTTGCTTGAATTATCGCACAATCAGCTGTTTGTTTAGTCCTGTAACGAATTCTTATGTAGATTTTTATAACTTTCACAGCCAGACTATTTTTTTCAAAGACCATACACACACACACACACACACACACACACACACACACACACACACACACACACACACACACACACACACACACACACACAGACCCGCACACAGACTCTTGTTTATAAATATATATGTATTTTACACTGCACATCTAGAAATATAGACACATTTATGAAAGAATACGACAGCGATAAACACTAGCGACTACGATAAGCCTGGTTTTCGTTCAGTTTTCTAAAGACTTATGCTTGAACATGTAATTTAATATTAACAATGTACACACACTGACACATTTGACCGGTCGGCGTGTAGATCATGTGTTTTCCTCTACGATTGTGGATACATAGAATGTTTAGATAAGTTTGGCACAAGGTCACAGAACTCATTTAATAATCATCAACATGATGAACGCTCTCTGCATTACTCGTGCCGTTCAAGTTGGTATTTACTGAGTTTAGTTTTTGTTTTGACGGAGAGGTTACAGACCAGCGAAGACAGTATTCTTTATAAATAGTAATGGTCAACGAGCCGAGTTCGTTAGGCCACGCCGAGGCACACTGGTACTTATGTGACTTTACACAAAGCCGAAGCCATAAAAAAACTACAAAATACGAAACCAACTCCTCACCAAAGCGTCCAGACAATTTTACAAGTAACTAAAAAATAATAAAGACCTCATTATAAGTGAAAGAGACATGTTCAATACATTCGTTATCCTAAAGAAAACCGATAACTTTACAAAAGTATATATATATATATATATATATATATATATATATATATATATATATATATATTCTGAAAATGGACAAAGACCGATAATTATTTTAAGACATTTTTTTTTATGTTTATACGTTCTTTTTATAGATAGAAATATTTAAGTAAATGCTCTGTTTTATAATAAACAGTATTAACAACATTTACCGGCCTGTCCGAGAAATTTTCACAGAAAATATGCGTCCTCCGACTATATGACGGTTCCGTATAGGATACAGGTTCGATTCCTGCCGGAGGTGTGTGTGTGTGTGTTGGACTATAGCTCAATTCGGACCCATTTGAATACACACAGATATTTACCAACCGCTATCTGTTATAAACTTATAGAAAATACGAATATAATGGACCCGTTCACATACAAAAAACGATTAAAAATAATGGAGTCTTTAACAATAAAAAAAGGCAGGAACAACTTCCAGTAATATCAATTAAGGAACACGGCCACAATGTGCTGACTGTGTTCTAAAATATATATATATACGTCCCTGTATAATAGCAAATAGATTAGCCGAAAATTCTTGTATGCTTTGAGTAGTTTTTGCACGAGATGTGTTCAAAAACTAAATCATTTGTACGAATGCAAGAAAAATATGAAAACTTAATTGCATTGCTTTGACAGTTGTCTTTAATGAAACCTGTATAAATGAGGGATTGCTACCCAAATACTCATACATATATATATATATATAGAGAGAGAGAGAGAGGGGGGAGATTTGTTTGTGTGTGAACACGAGGCTGGATCACTAAATCCGTGGCCTGTGTGTATTTCTTAAGTGAATTTAGATGGCTTTTCATCGCTATACTTAACATCAGAGACAGTTCAGTTGAAACTTCTAGAGCACATAATGAGGAAAGAAGGCTTGGCAAAGTTGATACTCACAGGTGAGTTTTAACAGCAAGAAGTACAGAGGAAGACAAAGCATGAGTAAATGGATAGCAGAATGACGAAAAGACATAACGAAAAGACAGAATTTATAACTAACTACAAAAGACACGAAATTGTGGAGTGCCATGATCGCCTACATCCTGAACCTAATATAAAACGTTCTATGTGCTTACAG